GCTTTGCTGGTCTTTTAAAAATGAGTAGGCTCTTTTCTTTAAAGTTCCTAAATCGTATCGATCCGGAAAATCTTTGGTGGTAGTCGATTCCACAAGAAATTTGCGCGTGGAAGAAAACTTCTTTTAAATCGCACAGTGGTGAACCGCCAGTCATCCAGATGGTATGGATGGTATCGCGAATTTTGTCAAATGAAATTGTGAGGCTGGAATTAGTCTTAAAAGTTCCTCAGAGCATATCTCATGGCAAATGCGATAAAAGACGCATAGAGATGCAACATATCTTCGCAGATTTGAACGACTCTGCGCTGGATGCAATCAAATGGAAAGAGCGCGCAGCAAGACGCCACAGCCCCAGATAGAGACAGTATTGCATATGCGGCTGAACCTGTGCCTTATAAAAATGAAGGCGGTGTACCTGCATGAAATACTTTCCCGTTCTGCTGAACACGTCAAGATTTTTAGAGGCTAATTAGGCCTTCTCTTCAAGTGAACACAAAACTTTCCTTCACTCGATACGTCGTCGCCAAGGATTTCGATACTGGCTGAGGAAACAAGGGGAGTGCCTTGAAATTGAGGAGATACGACGGAGGGGTTCTTTGTAGCAGTAAACGCGCAAACTTGTGTTTTCTGGGGTCTGAACTGGACTAAATTTAGTTGCCCCATTCCGAGACTTAGTTCAATAAAGTCTCGACTTCAGACACAATTTTGTCCCGTCACTCTTTGACGTTTTTATTACGACTTACCATCAGGTGGAGTGTGTTCATTAGTCACGCTTATTCTTTAAAAAATCGGATCATCAATTTAAGAAATCAATATTTTTTTAAATATTCCTTCAAATTCCATAAATAAATTCCCTTAATTATACATAACCTCGTTAAGATTGTGTCAAAGTTTCATTGATAGACTAATCCAATGGTGCTGCAACAACAGAATGTACTTAAATACAAGTAAATGTTGTCATGTTGGATGCTCCAGAAAACAGAATTTAAAACATGTCAATTACTTTATTTATATTACTAAAATTACGGAAGTAGAGACCATTCGGGATCTTGGCGTAATATATGATAAAAAATTAACTTTTGTACCCCATTTGGATAACATAATTATGAGAGCATCTAAAATGTTGGGCTTTGTCATAAGGAACTCGAAAAACATGCATTACAAAACCAAAATTTTTCTTTACAACAGTCTAGTTCGTAATATTTAAGAATATTGTATATAGCATAGTGTGGTCACCAGACCACACTATGCTACACATTCATTACGTATCGAACGTGTTCAAAAGCGGTTTCTCTGGCATCTAGCATTTTCTGTTAGTAAAGCAAAAAAGCTACGGTAATAGTACCGTAGCTTTTTTGCTATAATAGAATAGTAAAATTGCATCATTTTTAATTAGAAACCTTAGAAAGTCGCAGAAAATATAATGATGCAGTTTTTGTGCGTAAAATATTTAATTCTAAATTTAATTTCCCCAGTTTAATGTAACTTTTTAAGTTTCGTGTACCTTAGAGATTACCTCGCAGATCTATTGCACCACTTATTCCACCATTAAGAAGAACTGTCTTGGAGAATAAAATTCTCCTTATGCCAGGTTCTGCAAAGTTATTAATGGATATAGCGATCAAATCGACATTCACTTTGACTCACCCAAAACATTCTCTAACTGTCTCCGTTAATGTATAAGTTAATAGCGTAAATTAGAATAGATTTCTTAGTTTTTTTAAGTTTATTAAATTAATGTAGCACTGTTCTTACTAATAAATATATATTTAATTTTAGTTGAGGAATAACTTAACTAACTAACTTTTTTTTTTAGTTTTTTTCATAAAGTTGTATGCATGCGGAGTTTACCTTTAAGTAGTTATAGTATTTGTGTTAACATTATTAAGTAATTGTATTAATTTGATGTCTTAGTGTTATCAATTGTTGGTAAACACTGTGTGCTCCCTTGAAACTCTTATTCGTTATAAAAAAAAATACATAGTTTACGTAGAGAACTAACTGAACGGTAGAAAGGAACACTAATATAGTGAGGGCTAAAATTACTCCCACCATTAGTGCATGGATATACACCCTTATTCTATAAAAAAAACAAAATAATGCTTCAGTGCTGTGATTTTTAATATTTTATACATTGTAACTGATTTATTTTTTATTTTTAGGAAAATTCGTAGTTCGGTTTAGTAATTTTTCATCTCATTAACCACTCGAATTCCAATACATCCATTAGGACCAACGGCATCGCAGCGCTCGGACGTTTCAAGCTTACTTGGCCGCGCACGCTGGACGTTTGAGTAGTTAATTGCGCCCTTTAATATCTTACTAAACTTTAGGTTTACTATTTCGTACTTTTCGCTCATTAACTGTATCTTGACTAACTTTCTTATTTTGTATTTACTTCTACTCTTCTGTGTGTTGTAATAAACTATTAATTGTATATATATGGTTTAAAGTAAATAACTTTTTATTGGGCGGATGTACACGCATTTAAAATAAGATAATAATATTAATAACCTCCACGCTTCGTTATCATCAAACTAATAATGTTTAGTTTATAAATAAAGAAATGTGGAATAGTATAATCCACCCTCATATAATATTTGTGTTACAATGTATTCATGTGAAAATAGTTCCGTAGAAAAATATAAATATGCCATGTAAAATGGGTATTTATAATTATTTAAGGTATAAACGCGGTGTGCTATAGCTAAGTGTATGGTAGATTAGGGTATGACATGCTAGCTTAAAGGTCTTTGCGTGTGACGGCTTCATGTGACGGTTCCTCAACTTCCCTTTAAAATGGTATTACAGCTATATTATATTAAAGGTATTGACGACTGCCTCGTCATACTTGTGGGCTTTAATTTTTTTGTTGCTTGGTTTTATTAATAAAGAACATGTTTTGATTACCTATATGCCTATTCTTTTTTATTTTTGACAAAAAAGGACACCAGCAAAATTTTTTTCGCCTTTTATTCTCTAAACACAGGAACCTCCTTTTAAAATGGACTACCGTTTTAATCTACTAAGATTAAGAACCATTTGAATACTACTAAGATTAAAAACCATTTGATGGTTACTAAGTAATACGAGTATACCTTGAATAGTGTTTTGCAAGTTGCTTAATTCGCTTAGAAAAAATAGCTTCATTCCGGAATTTGAAAAAGTTTTCAATAGCACACATCACCCCATCGTCGCCGCCCGATTTTATACCACGCAAGTGCTTTTTCATGGGAGTAAAAAGGTGAAAATTACTCGAAGCTAGGTCTGAAGAATATGGTGCATTGATTGAAACCAATCGGTTCAGATGGCAGTGCCTGCAACAGGCAGGGATATTACAATGATGAAAAAGCACTCCGGCACACAATTTTCTTCGCGTAGTTTTTCGATTAATGATGCGTCATAATCTCTGGTTATCGTCTCTCTTTTACTGTCTTGGTTTGGCCTTGACTACTAACTTATTAAAGATTTAAAAAAGTAGAACATATTTTTGTAATACATCGATATGTGTTCTATTCTGAAAACTTATTGCTCTACCTAGTATATTAGGTTATACAATCAATGTTTTCATTTTAATTTTCAAGAACTAACCTACGAGTATATAGGTATTACTACTGATATACACTTGGTTTAACTCCACATAACTTGTTCGGGTTTATTATTAATCATGTAGTGCCGGTTCGTATACCGGGATATTATAGGGTAGTGCATATACATATATATATATATATGCACTACCCTTTAATTTCCCGTGAGATTCGTAAAATCCGACAGAGGGAAGATGAATCCGAGATAACTGAGATATTGCTGATCTTCATGATAACCGCTGAAAAAAGAACTGCGGTTACCAACCCGCTTGCCAAGCTTGGGAACTATGGCAAATTTCTGCCCTATGAGACCAAATTTGGGGTGGGTCATTGTTCAATACTGGATTTTTGATTGTAATGGTAATGGTAATTTCCGCAATTATGAAATATTTACCATTAATCCTTATATATTATGCCATAATCGTTGATGCGGCTGTTAGTGATCTTGTAAGGCTTCTGAAAGAATTGAGATCGAGGTCATTATTCCTCACAGTATATTTGTTTTATTGAGACGATAGTTCAAGGCTATGCCGATAACAAATTCTATATTTATGGACTAAAATGACTATTATTCGCAATATATTACATTGGTTCAGTGCCAAATAAATCACAATGTTTGGACACGATAAGTGGCACTGTGGTTAAGTTATTAATGAATTTTACTTTTACACTGTAAAAAGTTCTGAATGAATTTGGAGGGAAGTCACCGCATCACGTGTCGGAAAAACAGAACGATGTCTGCCGAGCCAGCTAGTGTATGTATATAACAGAGACAGACGAGTACACGGTACACAAATCAACCAAGTGCGTTGTCCGCAGGTACCAATGAAAATGCTAAATAGGTAAAACCCGCATATTTTAATAATAAAAAGGATATTTCGGGAACAAAGTCAATTTACATTGGAGCACCGCCGTCGACTCTTACTCGCTCCATAAACCCTCTGAGAAGTGAAAGAAGATTTACTGAACCCTGTTATGGGATATATAATAAGCTCATTTTTATAATAATTATAATAATAATATATATTTGCGTCAATAATAGTATAAATATTGTAAACACGACTAACTTCCCAGTGTAAAGAATAAAAAATATCATATGTTTTAATATTTTGCACAATTTTTTATTCGGCACAAAAAACGACTTGACCGATTTTTCTCAAAATTTAATGAGGTCTAAGTTACATAATTATGCGTTAAATTAAACTGGTCCCATGTCAATATCACTCTTTGTTCTCGAGATACAGGAGGCGAAAATTGAATCTGCACACGGAACGGACGGACACACACGGACATCCTCTTAAAAATAAAAATAAAATAATTTCGACTCTTAAGGTGAATCCCTGACCAAAATGTTGCGAAAGTGCGTTTTTCAGACTCTATTATCTCTTTTAGTCGATGCTGGAAACGCGCAGCATGTCTCTCGAAAATCGACCGCGACTTCCCCGCATACCCCTTAGCAAGCGAAATCGGGCTGTCGTGCGGGCTCTTAACCCAATGCTGGTGACCTATTTGGAAGCCAGCCGGGACCTTTGCGAGACGGATTCAATTCTTTTTGGCGCCGCACTGGCAGTATGCCGTATTATTGGCGCCAAACTTCCCGTGGCTGGACGTGCTACTCAAAAAAGTAGCGCCATCCCAGCCTGGAGAAAAAGAATTGAGGAACGTATCGCAAAGGCAAGGGCCCTTATCGGCAGACTTACAAACTTCAGGTCGGGTAATAATAGACCGAGGATTATGCGCACCGTTAGGATGGCGTTTGCTGGGACAAATATCAGTTTGTTCCAACCGGATATCACGCAAAAACTAACGGAGCGCATAGATGACCTGAAGCAAAAAATCGCTGCTTGGGGGAAGCGGATTCGACGATTTAGCGAGAGGTCAAGGCGGTTCAACCAGAATCGTCTCTTCCAGAGTGATCAGAAGAGGCTCTATAAATCATTGGAGCGACCAGAGATATGTGGAGCGGGCCCAAGACCGGATCAGGCAGACACTGTCGCATTTTGGCGTGGCCTGTGGTCAGAGCCCGTAAACCACAGCGAGGGCCCTTGGATGAAAGTTGTGGCGAGCCAGAGTGCAAGTGTTACGCCTATGGACCCTGTCACCACAACGCCTGAAGACGTGGCTGTGGCGGTCCGTAGGGCCCCGAACTGGAAAAGTCCGGGGCTCGACGGGCTGCATCATTACTGGCTGAAGGGGTTCGTAGTGTGTCACGCTGTGCTCGCCCGACAGTTTCAAGAGGCTCTCGATCAGAAGTCGCTCCCGAGCCTCTTCACTACTGGGATCACTCATTTGGTTCCTAAAGATCAGGATACCACAGACCCGAGCAAATACCGCCCCATCACGTGTCTACCCACCATATATAAGACACTGACATCCATTTTGAGCGCGAGAATCACTCGTCACCTGGAGCTAAATCAGGTGATGTCACGCGCTCAAAATGGATGCCGGGGCGGTGGTCGTGGAACCAAGGAACCACTCCTTATTGACGCGGTCATTGGCAAAGTGGTGAAACGCAACCGTCGGAATTTCTCCGCCGCCTGGATAGACTACAGAAAGGCATTCGACTCGGTGCCCCATACATGGCTAAAGAGAGTCCTCCGGCTGTACAAAATTGACTGTACAGTTGGAGACTTCCTCGAGCAGTGTATGGGGCAATGGAGTACGATCCTTTGCTATCTGGGTGAGCGGATGATGGCTGCGGAGAACCACATAAGGATAAGAAGGGGTATCTTCCAGGGCGATTGTCTGAGTCCAATCTGGTTTTGCCTCTCCCTGAACCCTCTTAGTACTTTACTGGAGGGCTCCAGGAGGGGATTTCAGCTTCGGAAAGGAGGTACAAAAGTAACCCACCTTTTTTTATATGGATGACCTCAAGTTATTCACCTCCAGTCGCTCCCATCTTATGGAATTGCTAAACATCACTTGTGAATTTAGCAGTTCTATTGGAATGGAGCTGGGAACGGATAAGGGTCCTCCATGTTGAAAGGGGAATGGTTGCTAACTCTGAGGGCATAGACTTATCTATGCCCGTCAACTTAAGGACCCTTTCCGAGGCTGAAACATACCGATAACTGGGTATGTCACAGAACATCGGTATCGATGAGGCTGGTATGAAATTATGCACGCTTGACCAAAGTGCTTAACAGCCTTTTGTCCGGTGTGAATAAGACACACGCATATAACGGTTGGGTCATGCCTGTCCTCATGTATACCTTTGGCATACTCAGGTGGACCCAGACTGAACTTAACGCCCTGGATAGAAAAGTCCGCACTACCATGACGTCCCATAGGATGCATCATCCGAGATCGTCGGTAATGAGGCTGTACTTGCCGCGAAAGCATGGTGGACGTGGTTTTCTGAGCGCGCTCACCATGCATAATCGCGAAGTGTGCAGCCTCCGTGATTACTTCCTGGCAAGATCGGATGATCCATTCTATAATGACATCATTCTAGTGATAAAGGGCTTACCCCTCTATCCTTAGCCAACGAGCAATGGCAGGACCCAGCAGTGCTTAGCATTTCCGACCGGGAGACCGTATGGAAGGAGAAGGAGCTCCACGGGAGGTTCTACAAGGCTCTACATGAGCCTTTCGTAGACACAGTAGCCTCCTTCCACTGGCTACGCTTAGGTGATCTCTTCGGGGGAAACCGAGGGTTTTGTCTGTGCAATACAGGAGCAGGTTATTAAGACCAACAACTATCGGAGATACATCCTAAATGATGGCACCGTGGACATCTGTCGAGCTTGTCGCCATCCCGGTGAGTCACTTAGGCATATCATCTCCGGTTGTTCGGCGCTTTCTAACTCTGAGTATTTGCACAGGCACAACCTAGTAGCCAGAATTCTTCACCAGGAGCTCGCTCTGAAATACGGTCTCGTGGATCGGAAATTGCCGTATTACAAGTACTTGCCGGAAGCCGTGCTCGAAAATGATCGCGCCAGGCTCTATTGGGACCGGGCCATCATCACAGACAGGACTATTCTTGCGAATAAGCCTGATATTGTGCTGATGGACCGGGCACAGTCAAGAATATTTTTGGTCGACATTACCATTCCGTATGACGAGAACCTCGTGAAAGCCGAAACAGACAAGCAAACATAATATCTGGACCTGGCTCACGAGGTGACCAACATATGGGGTGGTCTGCCGACCGAAATTATTCCTGTAGTCGTCTCTGCAAACGGGCTAATCCCAGTCAGCCTCTCGGGTCATCTGAGGCGACTGGGACTACGTGGCGGACCGCTCCGGGCTCAAATGCAGAAGGCGGTGCTCCTCGATACCGCCCGCATCTTCCGCCGGTTTTTTTTTCAGAGTATGCGGCTCGTGGTAAGTGACTACCGCTGCCCATCAAAAACTGCAACACCAGGAGAATCGCAGTTTCTTTGTCGATCTTTTAGATAGGAGTAATCTCTTTTCTTGAAGGACCCGCAGTCGTATCGGTACAAAAAAAACGCCGGGTGTAAACAATTCCACAGAGAGGTTTTACGATGATGAAAACTAATATTAAAACGCACAGTGGTGGACCGCCAAGCATCCAGATGGTGTGGATGGTATCGTGAGTTTTGACGTGATGTGCGTTCGTGAAATTTTAACATTTCGAACAATTCCTTAGAGCACTCCCCGAGCCAGATGCAATAGAAAATGCAAAGGATGCAACATCCCTTCGCAGAACCAGTGAATCGAACCAATCAGAAAGAACTGGATCGTCGACGATTTGAGCCGCTCTGCGCTGGATCGGTCAAGTGGAAGGAGCTGGCCCTGGGTTGCCCCGTCCCAGAGATGAGAACAATACCTATAATAGAACAATAAAAATAAAATTAAATACTATAACATGTTTTATTACAATATGTTATAGTATTTAATTATTTTCATGGTCATGGAGGATGGTGGCTTCCACGAGCCACGTTCCACGTTTAGTCAGTTCCAGTTTTACACAAGTTTTTTTAAAGTGTAATTTTAAGTATTTACAGTAAAAGTTTTAAATATAACAATTCATTATTTATTTATAAACTATATAAATGGTACTTGACTTTAAAAATTATAAAAAAGAGCCCAATCATAAGAATTTAATCTTAAAATCGATGAATTAAAATATAACGATATTTTATATTGATAACGATATTTTAGGGTTTTGTTTATATTAAATTTCAGTGACAGAAGTAAATATAGCAATATTCAGACTATTAAGTCTTAGTTATCGCGGTCGAGATGGAAGCAGGGAACTTAAATAAGGAATTTTAACAATTAATCATTAGTCTTGGCGCCGCGATTGTCAATTCTAATGAATTCCACGCCTTACAAAGATTCCACTTCTGCAGTTGGCTTGCTTCGAACGCTTTTTATTTTGGAGAGATAATAAATCTTTCCATTTAATACACAGAGAACTAGTAACATATAAATCACTAGAGTCAATTGTGTAAATATTACAACGAATTAATGTCAGTCGCAGTGTTTAAAGGTGTATTCATTTAATATCTTATTACATTAATAGAGTGGAATACAAATTCGATATACATCGTTCATCATCTTGCAAAATGTTGACGATATTAACTGGTAATTTCTATTTTACCGTTACAGCATACCGCTTTTCAATCTCCCGTTATAATTTGCTTTGGGAAGGCTGGGTTTTCATCAACATAATTTACTCATATTCATTCTGTGATTTAGTGTGGAAATATTTCCTAAAATAGGGCTTAATTTTAAGCAACTTTTAATAATATCGGCTCGTGTGCCTCTTAAAATAATAAAATTGGCTGAGTGAGAAAATTCTTTTTTTAATTTTTGAATATGCGTATAATATGTAAAAACTTCGATCAACTGGCCGCCCTTTCACATATTATTTTTCACTGCGAGTTTTAAATATAGCCTTGGAAAATTGAGAAAATCAGACCAAATAATTCATGTAGTTTTGAAAGTACAGTTATTCCTTATGGTGACCAGATAGATATACTAAAAGTTCCCGATGGAGAGACACAAGTAGGCAGTGGGAGAGGGGGTAGAAACGTCTCTTTTCAAGTTTTTTTGCTTGAGACTCGAAAACTATTTATAATAATATCTCTTTAGTGACTTCTACGTTAATTATCCACATTAAATTTCCCATAATTTATATTTCAACACTAGCTGTTACTGGAAATTTTGAATTCCCCTTTAAAGAAATCTGTTGGAATTCTGATTAATTGATTGTGGTAATTTTGGAAAAAAAACTAATTGAACACTATTTTAAGACGCTACTGTACACAATTTTATATGTTTTTCTATTCGGGGAAAGAATGTGGAGATTCTGGGCATTTGATACATGCGAACATGCTACATACATCTGACCATGAGAGAAGCACGGTTTTTCTAAGTTGACCCCCGCTACCTGTAACGTTTGCCATTGCGCTTTATTAAATGTCATTGCAAAACTGAGCTTAAAAGGGAACTGCAACCTTTTGAATTGAAAAGGAAGATCTGTGGGAATTATAGGGATCCGTGGTATAATAACATTTTCACCTTTTCCTACGCCTGTCAAAATTGTAGCACCGATTATGTTCCGGCCAAGATATGTCACAAGTCGCAGCCTTGTCCCGTTACATAACCGAGGAGCATCTAAATTTCGCATTAGCATGACTGGGACGCCTAATTTTAATTGAAGCTTATGTGAGGGCACACCTGACAACTCTAGAGAATTTAGAAACTCTACGGGATATGAAGTGCTCTGTTCTGTGTTCATAACTGTGTCTAATGACAAATACTCTGTTATTTCTCCTGCTACTTCGCTTAATATATCTGAATTTATTTTGTTAACGCTCTCATTTTTCGGTGCAAGAATCGCCCTTACACATAACCATTTGTCTTCATGCATGTTGTTCGTTAAATCTGAATAAACGCTCGCAATTAATTCGGAATGACTCTGTACTAAATTACAAAAATCTCTCGTCAATTTAACGCAGCCCTCAGCATCCGTTTCCAACCGCCCATCGCCAATTTTTAATAGTGTGTCAGCATAGTTTCCAGCATTGATAATACCATTATACAAATGCACTCTCATATTCGTAGTTAAACTGAATTTTTTCACCTTGTTCCATAAAGTAGACGAATTGAGGCATGCTTTAATTTCATCTGCAGGTGTGCCCTTTTGAATGTCAGGTAAAGTTTGGCGAAAGTCACCATCCAGTAAAACCACCATTCCTCCCATTACATCGGTATTGCTGCGCAAATCCTGGAGCGTTCGATTTAGTGCTTCTACAGCTTTTTTATGCGATATTGCACTTTCGTCCCACACTAAAAGTTTGCATTGTCGTAGCATTATACCTCGTGCACTATTTTTGCTAAAGTTGCAGATCGGCGATTCTTCCTGGGCTAGATTTAGAGGGAGTTTTAAAACAGAATGTGCAGTGCGGCTCCCGCTTAGCAGCGTGGCGGCTATACCTAGAGGAAGCTACGGCACAGACACACGGCAATGTTTTTATCTTTCCGTACTTGCGCTAATAATAAATTTAACAAAAATGTTCCCAGTTCCTCCAGGGGCATCTAAAAAGAAAAGTGCACCATTTCCAGATTCAATTTGTCCTAATACTTTGTCAAAAACTCGTTTTTGTTCGGGAAGCAAGCAGGGTACAAATTTGGCTACTTGCTGCTGCAAAGCTGGTATATCGTAGTTTGTTTTACGTATAATTTCATCACTTAGTTCATTTTCGGTTATTCGCTGAGGGCTTATCATTCCAAAGTCGCTTAATTTTTTGCCTACCATTGCCATGTGCTTCATTATAAATGTGTTCATTGTATGTCGTGTTGGCGTGTGTCTGCTGTAATCTTCGCAAAATATCTTCCGCTATGTACTCTTTATATTTGTCCCAAAATTTTTTTAGATAGCCCGCAAGATGATATGAGAGTTGCATAAAGATCCCTAATTTTGGCTGGTGACTGGCACTGCACAGCTTCCTCCATGGTTTCATCCCAGTGATTATCGTTTTCTAAAAGATGCAAAGCTTCACATGCTTCTCTATAAGTTGCGCATTCCTGACCGTTGACAGTTTTAAGGTCTTTATATCCTGTAGGACCCCGACCATGGTGCAGCAGCAATCGTAAACAAAAACATTCAAAATTAGTTACATGGACGGTATACACACGACCAAGGGCATCTGATGACTATACACCGGGCCCATTTGCAACAGACACGCCTTGAAGATAACGTTTTTCTACTCCTTCCTAGATGTGTTCCAAGTACAATAGCGGGGGACTTCAGAATATAACAACGTTTTTGCAAAGGGGTCGGTTTGACAAAGTTGAAAGAAGGCTGTTAGTGTAGTTTTTGGCGGTGATGCAATTCTTTCTTGGAAATTTCTTTCGGTGAAATATACACTGAGTAACTGTCGGGTGCCTTTCGTGTAAAGGGAAGCCAAGGAGACGCCACGCTGCCTCGTTACTGCTGACAACGCCTAAGAAGCACACTGCCTCGTTACTGCTGACATAACGCCTTTAATTAATTTTGGGAAAAAGACATAATAATCCAGAAATTCTGACCTTCTGTGTACGTCCATCGTACCGTCGTCCGTCTTGTAGAATCACGGTGGCGCCACCTAGCTGAATTAAATTTTGCAACATATTCGATTTTCCCACGGGAATGATATGTTTTTCCGCGGAAAAAGTAACGCGCAACAAAGATCTCCACATGTACCATTGGTTGTATGCCTCGCCGCATATCAACTGGCAGGCTTACCTCTGATCTCCATGTAGAAAAAGTAAAAACTATAGGAAATTTATTGGCTATATTTAATTATAGTTGACAATATTCGCATAAGCATAAGAAATCATTATACACTAATAACTTCTCCATAAAAGCTTGGGATGACTTCATGCTGTTAGCACCAGACGGGGAATAAAAATATTATCGTAATAATTAATCACACTAATTCACTTTATTTCGCTCCGAAGCTTCGCTTGTCTCGCCGAATTCAATACTTCTCCGATCGAATCTTGCAGAGCTTATTTATATAAATTAGCACGGAAATATCCAGAATATTCAAGTAAACACGCGCAAGGTACCGAGAGTTCGAGTTTCAACTAGGCGCTAGTGCCGTCGACTAAGGCGCGTAACAGTATGTTTATGGGTCACAACATCCACGTACAAGTAGGTAGACTGTACGCTTGTGTGTTTTTTTTTTATAAAAAGCTATGTGTTTATCGTCGATATACATGATATACACTAAATCAGCCCCTGTGATCAATCTAAATGCATGCTATTCAAATACGTTGTTGAAAGTTAAAGAAATGGGTTATTTTTCGTTGTTGAAAGTTAAAGTAATGGGTTATTCTTCGTAAGAGATGAGATGAAAATGTGTATGCTTACAGCTTTTAAGAAGCTTTGTAACGTCTAAGAAAAGTTCACCGTTGCCTTTTCTCAATTATGGTTTGGTGTCCTATTATACTCGGTCCAGTCGCTGAACACGAAAACATATATACAATGACTTATCATTACTTAGTGTCTGTGGCTTGCACATAAAACATAAATGTATTACAGTGACCACCATTATCAGATATTACAAACCTTTTTTAGCCATAACAAAAAAACTTGTTTTAGTGCATTTATTCTTTAGTCTGTCTCGACATTATGAATCATTTTTAAACTAGAGTTTAAACGAAACTAGGGAATTTATTAGAACGCGCTCGTCATTACTCAGTTCTTGGACTTGGTTAAATAGTTTTTGAAAGTTACGTTTGTTGCATGTGTTCATTGATTTGTTGTTTCGATTCTCATTGTTAAGTTTGTTTTTGTTGTTATCTGCTACTATTACCGTTATAAAACGGAATCAGCCCCGTATACCTCAAGTCCTTTCAAAGCATTTATCTTTTCACGGAAGGAACAAAAATGTCTCATTTTAATGAATCTGTGAGGCTAATGATAATGTATTTAAATACGTAAAGAAGACCTGGCTTCTGAAAACTGACCTTCACAACAATAAATGAAAAACACAAACTTCGATATATTCGACATATCAGCAGCTGTATACCGAATTTTGTACTTAGTACAAACAAACATTCAATTTACCGTCAATTTGACGGTCACGGTCTTTGAAGATAAGGCATGTTCCCCGACCCTTCTAGTGTTAAAATTTTAATTCTCTATCTACTTCGTAATGTTTTATGGTCCGATGTTTATTTTCGTTGATTTTTATTCAATAAAAAATTTATTATTATCATGGGGTATCTATATAGTTTTCTTATCTGGTTGGGTTCCATAAATATATAA